TAGCAGCTGTGTGCTAAGACACTTTGTTTACCACAATCTCTTTTATCTTAATATTTCCTTCTAGAACAACTGATTATAATCGAATGAGTTTTCATTCTTCCACATAGTATATTCTCTTAAGTTATACTGTACTGATTACACAACACAAACAGTTAAGCAGAGCTAATCAAATGTAAACCCCAGTTCTATGGATTAGTCAAGTTAACATCATACCACTATGGGTGGGCGACAATTGACCCCACGACAATTGACCCCCCGACAATATAATTTAATACAATTAACCCTAACCCTAACTGTGACTAAACAACGATCTGCCCAAATTGTGACCGGCCCTACTAGTACTTATGAGCAGATGAGGGCATAATTCTCGAATAAGCGCTGTCAATGAAAGGACAAGTAGAGTTAATTGCATTCAGTTAAAACTCGTGCAACAGCAGCAGTCCAACGGCCAATTTGCGTTTTTAGTTAGATCTCCGCGAATCTTGGGCTAATTTACAATGGTGATCACCAGGCACACTAAATCGCGATCTTACGACCCACATGGTTACAAGTACTTAATTAAGTGTACCACTGGCACTCATTAAGTTAGTCTGCTTTAAGGTTCAACAACGTGGGACACCGAAAAAAACTTGCTCAGAATGAAGTAGGATCTATAGGTCGATCTTGTAATGTTCTGTTTACAAAGAGTTGAACTGATAAGAATTTTTATCGTAGCACTATAACCAGGCTTTTAGCACTGCCAGGCGAAAAGTTACGAAATATCCAAAATAGGTTTATAACATGCAGATATCTGTCGTTTTTTGACCAATGTGCTAAAACGCCAATTTAAGTGACCACTTTTTAGTTGCGACATGGTTTTGACATGGTTATGACATGGTTATATGACATGGTTATGCCGTCGAGATTCTACTCTACCACTCATTTTAAAGGTTTTGATTTCTTTTATCCACATTTTATTTTTGGGCTAAGAACTATTCCTGAAAACCATCAGGAACCATCAGGAACCATCGGAACCAATCACCAACCCCCATATAAACCCCCTCTTTTGAGAGGGATGATGCTGAGATGAACCATAATTGTGACAAAGGTACTTATAACCTCAATTTGTTTAGTGGATTTTTATATGCACTTTCGTCAGAAAACGGCAGATATAGTAATAATATTCCTAATGGTTAATTATCAATAAATTAAAAAAAGTTAAACAATTAACGAAATCTAAGCAATATAAGTACCCAATAGTTCGAGTGAACAAGTTACTCGGTAAATGATACCGATTTCTGACTAACTTGTAAGACAGAACACAGAAGCTAAACAATGATCACCATTATTCCGCATCGGTCATCGGGATATTCGCAACTTCTGCAATCGGCAAACTAAACGCCGGATATGCTGAACTCTCTAAGTCCAGTTATCATCTAGGATAGTGAAGTTTACGCACGATCATGATTTGCCTGCATACGCTAACCAGTTCCTGCATGAACAATGACTTCACATGGTTTTACACCTGTAACAACACTACACCAGGGGTTGCTTCACCAATTAACATCCTAATGCTGCGTACTAACTAGATAGGTAAACAGAGATTATAGCACTGGGAGACGCATTGAGAGCGTTGAACTGGGTTTTGAATTTCGCAACATTTTTAGCCTTCACATTAGAAGACGCATCATCTGCAGTCACCGCTATCAAATAATGAGCATGAATGTCGTCCAATCATAGTCTCTATCTAATTTGCTGTAATTGTAATTGCCTCATATATCTAGTTAGTTTCATGTCGGCGTAGTGCAGTGCAGGTAGAATGTAGATATATTGCAATATTGCAATAATTTAGTCTTGATGTAAGAACTTAGAAGCAGCTCAGATTTGAGAGCAAGAAGAGTTTAAAAATTGACTTTTAAACACCAAGTTAGGTAAGAATAACTTTAGAACACTTTAGGGATTTGAATGTTTCGGAATAACGCCAATGCAATAATCGTGAGTTGTTTAATTAAATTCCTAAATCCTGCAACTGGGATTCAATGAACCACTGTTAGCGAAGAGTCGAAGGAATTTCTCAAGTCGAGGAATAAGTCAATTACTACTAAACGGTTAGCGAAGGAGCAAAGAAGCATTTCAATAATCGTATTTATAGTCAAAACTCAAATCTTTAAAATTCAGTGACTTTATATTTCTTGAAACCATGGGAGAAAAAGTTGACATTTTATTGCGATTACCAAATAATAATATACAATAGTAGCTCCTACGTCAGAAATGATTATAATTTCAGTTAAAAGTGATGTTTACATTTTCATACGGAACTGTCATGCAACTATAAGCTGAATACTTCATGCCTGAAGACTCGTTGTTAACATCATGCCCATTAAGTCACCAGACTGAATCCGGGCGAATTAATCTGCTAGAGATGATTCTATAAGTGTTTATTTGACACGTTTTGCATTTAAAAACTTGCCAAAGATATTGAAAAACTGAAAACAAGTTGAGTTGAAGAGTTTTGTCGTTATTTTTACACTCAGCAGCTATATATTATAACCATGTCAGATTGATTGAGGAGTGCAGGTACTCAACGCTAACTTTCCAAATTTCATTTTCAAAGATGCGGTTAGCTTGAAATATTCCCCTTATCATGTAAATATTTTCCATAGTTGGTCAGTTCGTACAAAAGTCGTAAAAAATTCGTACAGTTCGGCACCTTTTTTCAGTTCGGGATTAGTTCGGGAAAAATTCGCCTCATAAATTTTCGAACTTGGATTTAATCGAAAGAACTTAAATTAACTCAGATGTCAGGCCTTTGATAGATAAGTACCTTTTCAAACGACCGGTGCTTTTAGCGAGGTTAAAATACTCTTTATCTACCAGTACTATTATCACGAAATCAGATATGAGTCAAGATTTATTTTATGGTTTAAAATCATTAAGAATTTTGTTCAAAGAAAGCGACCACTAAAAATAATTTTCATTTGACGCAATATCATTCATTTTAATTGGATTTCTTTGCGATATCACTACTAATATATCATAGAGATCAGGATTGATGCTACAGCATTCATTTAACGATTGCATTTTATAAACCAGATTTTAAAGTTATTTAATTGAATTGAAAAGCTGTTTCTAAAACAACCGTTCCATAGGTGCACAGCACATCGAAAATTAGAAAATTCAGTGCTGAACTTTTATAGATGAACGTGCAATTTAAAAGAGATCTACAACTTTGTAAAGCAGATTATAATTACATATAGTATTCCCACTCCCGATACATCTCAACCTGTGAGAGGGTATATTATTGCCATTATATATATATATATATTAGTTTAACTGCGTCAAACTTACGATGTAGACGCGTTATTTTCTCCTGCGTGGTGCTATATAACGAGAATTACATAACCGAGATTTTTTAAAATTTTATACTCCAAATAGTCGGCATCGGTTTGTGACTGACTTTTATACCACTGTACATCAGGTGATCAGGGGTCGCTCCTATAATGCAATTTACCAAGGCAAGAATGCCTCCCTCCGTGACAAGTAACAGTAACACTGTTCACTACATCCCTAGACTGAACATCACTGAACTTGGAAATGTTTTGGGCTGGGAAAACTATGTGCTCTATATAAATATAATCGCTGCTATTGACCTAAGATGACAAGTACGTACGGTACGTACCTTTAAAAATAGCTGTACGGTACGTACTTTTAAACTTGGGCTGAAAGGTACAATGCTTGCAATTGCAAAAAGATGCACAAAAACCACGTTCACACGACAACTTTCATGGAAGCTGAATTCGCTCATCGCTGCATTTCAATTTATACCATTAGATTTAGAGCAGTTGTACAAGAATGTTCCAGAAGCAAGAAGGGTTGGACCATGTGACATTGGATTTGGCGCTTTGAATTATGTTGGTTGAAAAAGTTGGCAGATGTTGTTTACGCGATTTTTAGCGCATCCTCATTAATGTGTGAAACAAACTTTAGAGACTACGAATATCTTATTATATGAATATCTTATTATATGAATAAAAGAAGGCTGAGGCTGAAGCTTCAGCTTGCTGAAAAACTAGTGTTTATTTACTCCAATAAGCACATTAAAATGTGATACTGATTTTATCTGTCACTGTTCATTTTTATCTCTCACTGTTAATTTACTATCTTAATAATTCATGTTCCTCTTCGACTACTACCTCAAATAAAATTATGATAATACTAACTAGGAACATTGCAAGTACTCCACTAACTTTGAAAAAAGTTACATTTTTTTCCCAAAAAAGTCTGTACCCTATAGGGCCTGTACGGTACCTTTAAAAGTAGCTGTACCGTACGTACTTAAAGCCCTGTACCGTACGTACTTGCCATCTTAGCTATTGACTTCTTCCTCGCTATAATCGGTGAGTATTATTAACGAACGAATCTAGTATATTATAACCAATATATACTAATAATCTCAATAAATGTGTGTGTGTGTGTGTGTGTGTGTGTGTGTGTCTGTCTAGTGTCTGTCTGTCTGTACTCTGTATAGTGCCCAAATAGTGCCGACAATATCTGACGAAGCCAAATGATTAAGGTTTTTCAAATCGGTGGTAAGTGGTTTAAAATTCGGTAAAAATTCCTCGACAGCTTTTTAAAATTCGTACAGTTCGGCACCTTTTAAAAGTTCGTACAGTGCGTACTGACCAACTATGATATTTTCATCATGCAAGTTTTAAACAGAAAGTTAACAACCATCAATTGAGATTTCCAGCTTTTCCTCATCATAACCAACTTTCAAGATATTGTGGCTGTTTAGATTAATGAAATCTTGATTGGGTGGTATTGGGTGGTATTGAACTCTATTTACACAATATCTTCGTAAACATGCATGTTAAGGGTTAATCGTGAATAACTTAGATTGGTAGTAAAGGTGAAGTTGAAGGAGCTTAATTTTAACTTCCTGTGTTCCGGTCCGCCGTTTGTTTGAGTTCCGACCCTGGATACACGAACCCTTGTCTGTTCACTTACTTGGGTTACAGTTCAATAAGCTTGTGCCGTGTACGTTTGAGGTTACGTTTTTCATCTAATTAGTAATTGTAGGCAATGTTGGTTGATGAGTGATAGGATAATAGTGATAGGATAATTTTAGAGTGTACTCATTGATTGTATTAATGAACCGACCCAACCTGTTTATCCAAGTTACTTCCATGTACTGAATACTGATCAAATATTGTTGACAAATACATTTATGTACTGCATTGCAATGCAGTGATATATTAGTGGACATAGTGCCAGTTTCATTTCGTGTTTTATTCCTGTTTGATTTTGAAGTAACCGTACAGTTCCACGAAGCTTACTACCTCGCGTTTACTGCAGTACAATTTTAAATTCTAACATTTTGTTCCCGATCTGCTTTTTCTTGCTCTTATATATTCCTCTTAACAACACTAATCAGTTTGTAAGGGCTGGAAGGGGTTCCTGATTACAGAAATGGAGCGGAGATTGTCGAGAAAGAACCTTGATGATTTCAGTCCGGCAATGTAACCTTCTCCTTAAAATTAAAACAACTTTAATTCACATACTGACAACTTAAACCTGTTGATGAACAAGTGATTATTCTATCACAAGATTCTCCATAGTTCATGTAAACCGTCTAACCTCAAAAACTCATGCACTTGATGTTAAATCTTAATTCCTTTCAGAGCGGGGAACACGCAAGGTAACCGAACAAACATCTACTCTGACTACCAAGAAATCTCACCTTGGAATGCTAAGTATATCCAGGAATACAAAGTGGTGGACAAGCCCTTCTACCGCTACATCATGGGGACCATGTCTGACTTTCATCACTACCTTCAGAAGTTCCCTATCACTTTAGGTCGGTGGTTTTTGCGTCTTTAATGTTTTGAAGTGGCTATTTCTTATGATATTGATAGTTTGGTACCGAGGTATTCCTGTGTTTCCCTTGAAACTGATTGTCTAGTATAGTCTGTCCGTACGCTAACCCTGAAGTCTTATTTCAAACTTAACTGCGATCTGTATGTGAGACCTTTTTATCTTTCAATAATCTCCGATCAATAATTATTTTCTTTTTCAGTTTTTTTCGCGTTTTTTAGGTCCGTCGGGATGTTCTACGGAATAAGTAACCCATTTATGGGACTGTGTGGTTTAGCTGCTGCACTCTGTGACTCATGGTTAGCAGCTTTTTATAACAAATGACTTCCATCCAAATTAACTATTGAGCTTTTAGAATTGTTTAGATTGGAGCGACGCCAATATTCTATTCAGTAAATTTGAGATTGAAAAGACAAGTACTTCTGGCAATATCTGTAGTAGTATAGTCCTTTCCAGTATAAAATATTGAATTTAATCCAGGTACAACTTTGTTTTCCTGTCTTGGTCGGTTATATGGAGTATGATTTGGTGTTTCTACCTCCGAATACCCAAAGAACTGATCTTAAACGGTCTTTACCCATCTCAAGGTAAATTCTTATCGCATAATTATGTGATACAAAAGATCAGATCTTGGTACTCCAAAGGGTTCAAAGCTAATATAAGGATAAAATCTAACATCTGACATTGTAAAATGAGAGATTCATACAACATCTGACAAAACTATGTTGATATCTACATTTTGTGACACCAGGAATAATAGTGGGGTACGCGATGTATGTAACGTACGGTGCTGCACTCCACCCTCAATGCCTCATGCAGCTTATAATACTCATCCCACTGCTGTTCTTCAACATTATCTTCTTCGAGGCCCTCTGCAGTGTTTTTGTGAAAAGGTCAGTAGGTTTATTATTTTTCCAAAATTAACATGTATAGGAATTTTTATTTTACGTAGCACCATGATATAATTGTGGAATATCTTTTATAACTTTGCCACTTCAATCAAACCATGTTACCAGGTTGAACGTTACTCCTATGATGTTATCAGGACTAACCCTGGGAATGTCTTGGCACCTTGCCATCAGGAAGTCCTACAGTTTCTACACTAACGCAGTCACGCCCAGTCTGGTTGCTCCTTTAACTGATTTTGCTACAGACAACATTACTTTTGCGGGACGGGACTGGTTTGACGTATCCCCGTAAGTTGTAAATGTTTCAGAACAGATTGATTTTGATTCACAAATTTGTGTTTTGCAGTCCCTGCAGGCAGTAAAATACGTAGTATTTTGAGTTTATCTAAAGGTTGAATACCAGCTGTTTACTCCTACAGATACGAATACGGAATAGAGATAATATACGGAGTGGCGATGTTACAGTTCTCCGTTTCAATCTGGAGTGCCATCCCTATTTCAATAGGTATGGTGTTCAGCTATAACTAGCAGTCTGGTTGTTGTTTGTTAAAATGATCAGAGATTCAAAATGAATGATTACACAGTGAACTAAACTTAGAAAATAATCCAATTAAAACCCGGTGGCTGAAATAAACTCACCGCCTCCATCCAACTCACTGCCTCCCTCCCAGGGCTGGCAAGTGCTTCTCCTATCATGCTGATAACAACATGGTGTGGTTCCTTTGTCGGCATCAGTACCGTCGCCTTCCTCAGACCCAAGTGGGATGTTGTCTCTATGAGGCTGGGACTGTACGGCATCAACTCCAGTATTACCAGCAGTGTTCTTGTCGGCAACTTCTTCTTGCTGAACTTTGCTTCAGGTTTGTGTCCCTATTTTTGGAGTTGTTTGTTTTCCACCTCTGATACGTGTTCACTGTTCTCCTGATCACTAGTTAATAGTTTCGATCTGCTATTGGTTGATATTCTTGTTGTATTTATGAAAGTATAATTTATTTCAGTGGTGTTGGGCATAGTGGCTGTGATGACTGCAGCGATATTGAACATGGCAGTTCAAAGCTTTTGTCAGCCGTTCGGTAAGTTTCCAGTATTATCAAAATAGTTACTTGTAACTGAAGATTGACATTGATACCCATAACTTTTTAATTAAAGCGCGCATTGAAACCAATGACCGAATAACTGAATAATATTTCTGTTACGATTCTTACTCTATGAATTATGATTGTTTCATGTAAAATCCCATCCAGGAATTAATTGGTTTGCCCTGCCTGCAACTATAGTCTGTATCATCTGCTACATGACGGCTGGTTCGTTCCCTAGCCTGATACCTGTTAACCTGGTTGACCTTACGGTTCCTGAGGATCATTTGAGGAGATATTATCTCTCTAAACTTGTTATCAAGGTCAGTACTTGTAAATTAAAATTTGGTAAAATATTGAGGCGTATCAGATTCAGTGGAACTTGCCTAAATATGCCTGTCCAAATAATTTCACGAAATAACAGAAATGTAATCATTATAAAACGCTTTCCAATTGTTTATGGCTATAAAATGCGCGCGAAGCTGAAGGTACCCCGTGGTATTTCCAAAAAGAACATCATGGCGCTAACGGATCCTATGAAATGGATCCATCTGCGCCCTTTCAATATCACAGTTCCAATGGTGCCACGTGATCTGCTGATTTGGCGCCATTTGATGTTGTGATACTGTTCGTTAGGGTCGTTCTGAATTTATAAAGCAAACGAACACTATCAAACAGTGTCGTTGCTCTATTTATAACACTAACAGTGAACATGGTCACACTGACACAAAATCTTTCACAAAATCTTAACGGTTATCAAAAACGGAACAAACTTTTAGCCTTAAACAAGATTACACAAGTCATAACACAACACCAATTTCAGCAATTTCACATGAGCACATCTCTGGCAGAGTACAAGGATTTGTCCCCTCAAAAGCTACAAAGCATTGAGAAGTCAATGTTACCAGTGCTGATGTGCGCGTATGCTAAAAACGGGAACTCGAAGTCCATTAAAAAGCTGCTGGAGTACGGAGCTTCCCCTAACTCAAGGTATTAGTTCAATAAGCTATTCAAGTTAACTAGGTTAATAATTGTAAAGTTAATTTAATAAGCTACAAATTTCATCAAACAGCTCCTAATTCGCTTGTTCTTTTGTTATCAAATAAGTTATTATTAATAATCAATTATCAATTTATCGGTGTTAATTTAAATTAAATTTGTCGTTACTATACCTCGTCAGACGTCTGGGCGAGCTGAATTGCAAAATAAGTAATGATGGATAACAATATTAGAATTGCTTGTTGTACCGAAAATATAGCATCAATATCATGTGCGAAGTATTCGAACTAGTCGACAAAACGTTATTCGCAGAAACAATTGCAAAATAACAAAGAAAACATAAACTCATCCGTGAATAATAATCGCTCAAGTTAATATTTCAAGTTCGACAAAGCTTCTACTCAACAAAGCACATGTTCACTCAGTGGTCTCGCAAAAATCAATAATCGCAAGATGATATATTATACAATATATACATAGTGGTAGTTGAGTGTGTCTCCTATCACGTTGCCTAATCGTCTGATATATAGGGTGGTCATTAACTCTGGGCCTCCCTGTATATTCTGATCTCGATCCTGGACCTATGAGTATGATCACTAGTATGTGACAAGTTTTCTCCTTGAACAAAACAAAAAAACCGAAACAAAACCGTCACAAAAGGTTTACAATTAGATGGGCAGGACGACAGGGGCTAGTAGAGCTGATAATGAGCATAATTGAGGCATATAGTATTCAATATTATAACTTTACGATATAATATCCCAACACATTGTGTGTAATGCGCTAACATGTGTATAACCTAAAATGGCTCAATTTCGATCTGTCGAGGGATTGTAATCTAGCTTGACAAGTTATTGATTTGCCAAGAGTCGCCTTTTGTCAAAGAGAACAAGCTGTCCGTATGAATCAGCACTCAGCTGGATTAATTTCTGCCCTTTGTGCACTACGACATGTCGCACCTGACGAGGTACACATGTAACGTTCCTTAAAATAGAGGAAATCATCATGATGATGATTATTATAAAGAGGACAGCCCTTCTTCTGTTTAATCAACAATCGTATTTAAAACGGACTTTGCATTACGTAATACAAGCCTAAACCCGTTGAGTAAACGCAATCTTCAAACAGAACAGCTACAGTCCTGATATAATTAGCTACAGTCCTGATATAATTGAACAGAAAATCGAAATGATCGGATTCTGTTCATTTTAGTTCGCCTTCACTTAAGTTCGCATGAAATCAACCTTATCTAACTTCGGTACGTGTCGAACTTGGATACATGTCGAACTTCAGTACGTGTACCGTTTAAAGCATCATTTTTTCAGCATTCAATTTTTGACGGCTAGACTTTTATTGAATCTTCAGTTGTATGTCTGCTGTCTTTAAAACTTTTTAAAATGCAGGAACCGTTTAAATCGGAATCAATTGAACGAATGGTCAAGAAAATTAAATCGGTAGCCAGCGTCTTAATAGCAACCCAAGGCTGCAATCAGACACTTAAAATACACGAGGGAATCAAAAAATCATCATCTAAGTAGTGATTCCGATTGCTCAATCGTGAGATCCCATCAGTGGCTGTCTATGTCAAAGTTTTTTCTGCAGACAAGCCATTTAGTCAACAAAATTGAAAGTCACTCCTTACCTGAAAGCAATAAAACAGAGGAAACATGGCAGGTTATTATACGCCACAAGTCATCATCTGTCAAGAATTCGCGATTATTATCGTCACCTCAAGGAGCCAATATTTCACGTTGGGTGTTATAAAACGTTCCTTTATTAGACAGGTAGACATTCTCTCGCAAGGCCTCTTTTCATTAAAACTTTGATTTTAGTTGCCCGTGATATCAGTGAAGCAAGGATGTGTCAACTGTCAACGTTAAAGGGCGTACTCGTGAGTAAGACAAAGATATCGTTGGTAGGTACTATAATTAAATAATAATTGTAAAGTTTATAACACCCTCTATCAGTGATACTGATATGGGCCTTGTAACCTAATTATAGATTTACTTTTATAAAAAAGTTTTGATATCGGAGCTGTCAAAATTGATCACGTACATTCTTCTGTCTGATGAATTCCTTGCCTCAGGAACACGAACAAGGCCGTGTTATTTTTAGTCGTGATTACTACAAGTGCTCAACTTAAATACAACTAGGAGCAACTAAAATACGACTAGGATCGTAAACGTACAGCAACAAGTGAAAATAATTTCTCTAAACCACCGTTAGTTTTACTTGTCGTTGATAGGCTCAGTTGTAAGTAGATATAGATCTTTTTAGAAAATCCACCTACGTGGTTTGTAAAACAAGAAGGGACTTCCTCAAACGTATAAAACTCCCTCTTTACAAGTCACCAAACCTGCTTAGAGTTCCTTTATTACAGCGTAGCGACACGTCCACTCTCCATAGGGAACTATAGTCGTACGCAGATCTCACTCTGCATTCAGTCTGGTCCATATTGTGCAGGCCCTAGATGGTAAAGTGGATGATGCAGGTCATGGGTGGTTAATTAGCAGATTTGTAAGTGGATTGGGGTCACAATTCATTAATCACGAACTTCACCTACAAATATATTTCACATTCTTCTAATTTCGTTAACAGTATTAGTATAGGGAGAATAACAACAGAAATTAAACTTTGTAGTATTCATCATTACTATTAAGTATTAGTTGGGCGACGGACGGCAGGGATCATGGGTCCGTCGGACGGACCCATGATCCCTGCATCCTCGGGTGATTGGTTGTCGTCAACGGTTTCTTCTACTTCAACCAGATTGAGAATGATTTTGAAAAATATGTTAATCCTTTTATCATTAGATTAGTGTTTCAAAAAGTACAGGCAACGGAAATTCTAAACGAGGCGATAGAGATGGGGTTAAATATGGTTTCAAGGATATGTTTAAAACTAAATACTGGGGAGGGGGACCCAGACTCCCTGAGACAAATATATCTGCGTAGCATAAGATACATTTCTAATAAAAAATATTGGATATGATCGTATTCAATACTCATCAAATTCATTTGATGTTACTCAACCTTAACGCACCAAATGATTTAGCCATACGGTTGTACACTGTATGATTATGAATATACTGAATGAAAAATTCAGTCTAACATTTTAGCAGGTCATAAAAACATCTTTTATTAAATTTCCTAGATTACCCCGTCCCCATCATAACACTGAATTTCTTGGAGGGATTCAAACATAGATAGCTCTTCAGAAGTATAAATGGTAACTGATTTACAGAGAAGAAGATATGATACCTTATCGGACCTTATTTGGACGGACATTAAATGAACGGACATAATTATGAACGGACATTAATATGAACTAGAAGGCATTTAAAACCATCAAAAATCCGAATTTATTTCATTTTTTGACGTTTTTTTATTTCAGCAAATGATTTTTAAATCTATTTTTATACAGTAAGTAAGAAAAAACAGTCGTTAAACAGTAAAAATGTTAAAACATGTGTACATGATCAGTGTCTTATATCACATATCATCTTCATCAAATGGGTTTTCGTGCATGAAATAGTCCATGCTTAAAGCATCAGTGATTTCTAGCTTAATTATGGAAACCTTTTTCAATGCTGCATTTCAGTGTTAACTTTTACAAGCCATTCGGCGTGAAGTGGTTTTATCTTAGACAACTTTAGGTTAACCTTAACATCACATGGAGCTTTCCTAGCACTGTTTCATTACCTCCCCTGCAGTAATATGAACTATAACAACGTCGGACAATTTCCTTGGCAACACGATTTACCGTAATATCTAGAGGTTTTCCGTAATATCTAGAGGTTGGAACAAGTTTGTCATGTTGGCGGGGACTAGCTCAATAGCTCATGAACTATGTTGTTGAGTGCCATAATGTCGTTGACTTTTTCCGCCAAGTGACCCTCGAAAACATCATATACTACTAAAGTTTTCAGTGCCTCCGGCAGACCAAGGAGAACCTTTCCGTCGTTAACTTACGGCACAATAAAGTTCTCATAGATGTCATATTCTGGACAAAAAGTTCGAAATGGAAACATTATTGAAAAAAATTCAACGGACTTTAACTTGGACGAACCTTAAATGAACGAACTTTATTTGATGTTTGAACGGACATTAAGATGAACGTTAGGGCCTCTAGCGCTAATTTAATGTCCGTTCAGATAAGATCCGATAAGGTACATCTAATAATGTGCAAAATATAATTTAGTCAAGAACAAGACTTTAAATCAAATAAGTGCCCTATCATGAAATTGTCGTGTGAGGAGAAAACTTAACGCGACTGTCTTCATCAAATAAAGAATTAGACTTTTAGAAATTTCATTAGAATTTAACTAAAAAGTTCAAAAGAGTTTATTTCTTTGCTCCATACGCAAATTTAAACGTTTCTTTCCGGCATGATTTTGAACTTGAATGAACATCCAGACGCGAAAATAATGTAAATTATTGGGTTGATGGTAGACAATAGTGATGGGACAATCAAAGTGGTAACAAGAACCCTTATTCCTGTTCCAAGTGATAATTCGTTAAGGTCATCGTTATCTCCTGCGCTTATCACATTTGCGTAAGATAATACAGCGATAAAACTTCCCAAATTTGTTATGAGAATTCTTACGGTGCTTTTAGTATTGCAACGTCCACGTCCACCAGCTGCTGGTTTTAGGAATGACTTGATTATCACGTATATAGTAAAGATAGAAGATATCATAGCACAGAGCTGGAGCAGGACTGTCGGAGTATTGATTATCAGTTGGTAGATCTTTATTGTAGTAACAATTCCAAATATATGCGCATCTTTCGCGGTCATGACTGCATTATGAAGTTTTAAAATGTCTATTTCGGTTCCTTCTCTTTCAATAAATAACGAGAAGCTCATAACCACTGGAATCCAAGCTAGAGAAAAGAAAACTGCTAACATGACATGTTTTGATCGTATCGGCTGAAAAGGATATTTCATTTGACAGTAGCGGGTCATGGCTAAGAAAGCGGTGACATGGTTTG